TCTTATGTAGTCTGAAGACCAACAGTGTAATATGAAAAATGCATAAGCTTTAGATTCCGACAAGCCTGATGTTGAAGCCTGACTGAATATTAATAAGCTCAATATTACTTTGGATGCATCCCTAATCCTCTCTAATTCTAAGTTTCCAAATTTGTGCTATCAATTCCTAACTTTAACTTTATCTTTGCCTCCCTAAAGGGTTGAAATTATTTTCTCACAGTATTGAAAGAGTAGCTTACAGAATCTTTCACCACCAAATCTATGGCTTTTTCCACTATATCATGGGACCACAGATCATATTCTCAATCTGGTCTGGTATTGCTTTAAAAAAATGAAATAACAGGACAGCCCGATTGCTGAAGAGCCAAGAGCTCTACCACCTCCCTGCAGTGAGGCTGACCTATTGTTTTGGCTGAGACTGTCTTGGTGTGTTTGGGCTGCTATAAAAAAATACCATAAACTGGGTGGCTTAAAGACAACAGAAATTTGGCCAGGCATGGTGGCTCATGCCTGTAATCCCAGCACTTTGGGAGTCCAGAATGGGAGGATTGCTTGAGGCCAGGAATTTGAGACCAACCTGGGCATCATAGCCAGACTCTGTTTCTACAAAAGAAATGGAAAAGTTATCTGGGCACCGGGTGCAGTGGGCTATTTCTGTAATGGCAGCTACTTGAGAGGCTGAGTTGAGAGGATTGCTTGAGTCCAGGAGTTTGAGATTACAGTCAGCTATGATAGTGCCACTGCACTCCAGCCTGGGTGACAGAGTGAGACTCTGTCTCCAAACAAAAAAACAAAAAAAAAAAGAAAGGAAAGAAAAACAAAAAAGAGAAAAAAAAAAAAACCCAAAATGTATTTTCTTGCAGTTCTGGAGGCTGGGATGTCCAAGATCAAGGTGTGTACAGATCAAATGTCTGGTGAGGGCCTGCTTCCTAATAGGCAGAGCCTTCTCACTGTGTCCTCACCTGGTGGAAAGGACAAGGGTCTTTTTGGCCTCTTTTGTAAGGGTACTAATTCCACTCAGGAGGGCTCCACTCTCATGACCTAATCACCTACCAAAGGCCCCACTTCCTAATACCAACATCTTAGGGGTTAGGATTTCAACATAGGAAATTTGGAAGACACAAACATTTGGACCACAGCACTGTCCAAAAGAAAATGTCTTTGGTCTGGTTCTGTGAGAGCTTCCAAGAGGTCCTGTATGGTACAACCAGGCTGCCCCATTAATAGTGACAGAGTGGAAGGCAAAGAATTCTAAGCAACTTCTCAGGGTCTTCTTCACTGAGAACTCATCAACAACATCTACAAAAGTCTAGAACTTCTGTCCAATCAGCTTTAGGATGCCATTTCCTTTTCTTCATGTACTAGACTCTGTCCCCGAATTTTTCCCACCCCTCTCAGCTCTTCTGCCATCTGTGCATTTACACTAAGTTACATTACACTTATTTGTAAGATTGGCTATTACCTTGTGCAGAGCTATAATCTACTCCCATTATTCCTTCCTTCTAACCAAATAAAGCCCTTGCTCATCCCAGGCACTCTGTAAATATTTGGGAATAGGGGGAAGACAGCACTTGCGGGGGGGGGGTACGTTTTTAAAAGTGACGATTCCTAAGCTCTGACCCCCCATATTCTGGAATCTGAACATTAATCAAGCCCTGCTTTGTTTTTGGATGCAAGTGCCCCAAGGATCACACTTTCAGAAATACTGCCTACATTATAAGGGCAGAGGCCAGCCATCCTGACAATTCCTGCATTCAATACATGTTTCTGGTGAATGAGTAAATGAGTTTATACTCTTTGTGAATGGATGAGAAAGATGGATCTACACCCAATTTTTGTTATCAGCTTTGGACACAGTGTTAGTCATCTGACTCTTGGTTTCTTCTCAGAATCAACTAGTCATGAAAAATTATAATGAATATAAAATGTGGACACTTAGAAGGCTTAAAAGACTTGTCCAAAATTTTCTGGCTTCGAAGTGGCTAGTTGCATCTACTGTTACCAACTTCTTCACTACACTGATTTATTAACTTTTTTTTTTTTATAAACACCACTTTATTGTATACATTTCACTAGGCACTAGAGAAAAAGAGCTGAACAACAAAGATGCTTGTAATCAAGGAAAAGAAAAACAACTACAATATAGCGTCTTAAGTACTATAAGTGAGAGAATGCATTTTCCAATATATACCTTAAAATTCATCCATGTAATTGCAGATGAGAGTATACTAAATCTCTAGAGCGGTGTGGCCTCCATTATCTTTGGCCAATTGCTGGAAACACTTCCCCATTCCTCACTTTGTTCCCTGGGTTCTCTGGCTTTAAGAACCTACTCAGACAAGCTTCTTGACTCTTCCCACATAAGAGCCAGTACTAGGCATGGCAAACCAACTTATTAGCTTGGAGCTCTTAGGCAGAGCTCCACACATTAAAGGAAATATGACTAGTTTTATACTTTACAGTTTCCTCAAGACAAATAGCTCAAATCAAGTGGACAGCACTTATAAAGTACTGTCTGGGGTGTAATATGGTATAGTAGAAGGGACAGTGGATGGGGAATGTGGTGTAAAACATAAATTTGGCCTTGCTTTTTTTTTTTTTTTTTTTTAGCACAAAGTCTTCAGTCCCCAAAGCTCTTTCCTGTGCCCACTCTGTGACACTGAGCAAGACACATAGTTTCTCTGGACCTTGGTTTCCTTATCTGTAAAATGAGGGGATTGGACTCAGTTATCTCTAAGTTCCCTTCCAGCTCTAAAAGTCTGATAACAACTTTTATCTACTCTATGACTTCACGGAAAGATCCAGCTGGGCCACCCAGCCCTTCCTCCAGTTTGGGCTAAATTGTGGGTTATGCCATTCATATATGTGGGTATGAAATGAAAAACTGAAAATAGTTCTTTGTGTATGGTAGGGTAGGGAGAACTTTGAATCTTAAAATTGAACAGGACATAGTTCTGTAGAAAAGCTAGATGGAAAGAGGGAAACAAGCTGAGATAGTCAGCAGGCAGCAAAGCATCTCAGGCTTTTGACATGGTCTGGACAGGCCCTGGTTGTCAGAATCAGTGTCCTTTCGACATTTCTACAGTATTTTGGTCATTGACCAGACATGCATGGAATGCTTACTATTATTACAAGACACTAGATTAGATCCTAAAAATACTGAGGGAAAAGCAAGCTGAAAATTCCATTATTTGGCTAGAATACAATTAAATTGAAAACTGCTTTAGGATTTAAGGAGATTAAGTAACTTCTAAAAAAATTATAAACAATTAAATTTTTACAATAAATATTGAAGGAAGGATTATAGCTGCATATTAAAATTTCTATGCATATTTGTTGTTAGGAAATTCTCAAAGAATAAAACCAGAAAGTGCTGTTTTGAAAGTGCTTGCCAAATTTTTAGTAAAAATAGTTTCCTGTATTTAGGAAAAGTGTAGTATGATATTTTAGATAAAGTGTTGTGTTTGTCTTTGGGCTTAAATGCTGCTAGATAATTAAGAAAATCACTCCAAACTCATTTCATACAAAAGAGGTGTAGTCACTTGGTATTATTATTCCAAGGGTAACTAGTCTTTTAAAAAAAAATCCATCTATTATCTATCAGAAACAAAAAATGAAAACAATAAAACAACAGTATTATTTTTCTGTTTCTATTTTGTGATTTGACCTCAGACATTTCAACTCCAGAAGCCACGCTTCTTACCTCAGATTACACTATATGAACTTTAGTGTGTTGACTGTCAGGCTCCCAAACACTTTGAGGTCCAGCATGGAAATGGAAAGAAGAAAGGGTAGGAGGGAAGACCAGTTGGAAATAATAAAGGATGCTGCCATTGGACAGAAATGGAGCCGCTGTGAGACAGAAAATAGTGGCAACGTCAGTGAAGGGTGCCAGGAAGCTAGAAGGGTACAGTCAGTAATTGGACAGTGGAAAATTGGAGTTTTATTTTCCACAGAGCTGTTTAAGATGATAACACATTTCTGGTTGGGCTCCTGGGAGTAAGTTTAAGTATAATGAGAAACAAAGGTCATTCTGATGAAGAAGGTCCAAGAACTGAGAATTACATATTCGATAGATCTGTTACATGATTGTTGAAATCTCCCAGTAATGTGGTCTGAGAATATGGTATGTACAATTGCTGGTTTTTTGGGGAGAAATTATCAAAATATACTTTATGGCCTGGTTACATATTGTCAATTTTCTATGGGAAATTGGAAAAGCTTGTCTTAATTAACTGGGGTTGTTTTGCTTTGTTTTTACACACTCTGAGATCTTCTGTCTTTTAATAAGGAAATTTAAATATTTATACTGATTCTAATGTGTTTGTACTTATGCCTGCTGCATTATTCTTTAGTTGTGAGCAAAAGCAGAAACTAACTCTGGTTAACATGAGCAAAAGGGAAGGATACTGAGGCGGGAAAATTGATAGCAAGGTTAAAAGAATGTGATAGGTTTTAGTTTCCAAAAATATTGCAACAGCGTCTTCCATCTCACATGCTCTTCTTTAACTTGACTCAGAAATTCCTCCCCTTGAAAGCTTGGATCTATGTGTTCTCCTCTTGAATGTAGGTAGATTTATTATAATGGTGGAATTGAAGTTACATGGCTTCTGAGGCCACGTCATAAAAGGTAATACAGCTTCCACTAGTTGTCATGGGATGATTGTTCTTGCAACTCAGGCACCATGTCATGAAGAAGCCCCGGCAGCCCATGGAGAGACCCACCTAGAGAGGCACTGAAGCTCCCAGCCATCAGCCCTGGCTGAGTACTCCTAACAACTCAATACCAAACTTGCTAGGCATGTGAGTGAGCCTTTTGGGAAGTGAGTCCTCCAGCCCTAGCTGATGCTCTGTGGAGCAAATGAGCCTTCTCCACCAAATCCTGCCCAGAATGCAGATTTGTAAGATAAAGAAATTATTGCTATTGTTTTAAGTCACCGAGTTTTGAGGTGGTTTGTTACACAGCAATAAATAACTAAAACAGAGAACCAAGCTTGAAAATGAGCAGGAAACAAGGTTTTCTTTTCCAAGGAATAGGAAGGAGGAATGGTCTCTAGTAGGTGCCTTACGGGTAGAGTACCACACATGGAATGAATTGACAATAACCATTTTCAGTCTTGTCATTCTTCCTCAGTTCCAGGTTTCAGTGAAGGCATCTTCCGCTGTTCTACTTTCAGACAGCTCCTCACCCTTTGGCTACCAATAAACAGAAAATCTGAGTGACAGCAACCAAGGAAAAAGAGACAATTATTCAAAAGGAAATATACATTCAGGAAGTCTGTATTAGTTTTTTATCACTGCTGTGACAAATTATCTCAAACTTAGCGGTTTTAAACAACACAAATTTATTACCTCATCGTCTGTAGGATGGAAGTCCAAAATGGGTCTTAGTGGGCTAAAATCAAGGTGTTAGCGGCACTACATTCCTTTCTGGAGGCTCTGGGGGAAAATAGGTTTCTTTGCCCTTTTCAGCTTCTAGAGGCAGCCCATATTCCTTGGCATACCGGCTCCTTCATTTTCAAAGCCAGCAATGTTGCACTTCTCTGTGGCGTTTCCTTAACGTTTTCCTCTAACTCTAACTCCTTTTCTGCCTCCCTCTTGCACTTTTAAGGAAACTTGTAATTACGTTGGGTCTACCCTGATAATCCAGGATATCTCCCATCAAATTCCATAATTTAATCACATCTGCAAAGTCCCTCTTGCCTTGTAAGGTAACATAATCACAGGTTCCACACACCTTTGAGGGACCATTATTTTGCCCACCATAGTATACACAAGCAGAATAGATGCTGGGTGGGCCCCAACACCCTATAAACATGTCCTTTATGCTACACATTCTGTTTTATGTTTTTTGTTTTCTTCACTTTATTGAATTTATTAAGTTACACTTTTTCTATGTTTTTCACTCAAGTGGCTTTTAAACATCCTGGTGACCCTTGTATTTATTAGTCATAATTGACATATTTTTCTCTGTGTTTGTAGATAAGACAAAATAGAACAAAAATCTTAGCATGCTTTTTTTCTCCCCTTTCCTTTTACCTTCATGATGAGATCATTTTAGTTGTATTATCCTTATTTCTTTTTATTTTATGAACTAGTAATGATGAAGACAATCAAAAGTTTTTAAATTTTCTATAACAGTTAAAAAGTGTTTGTCTGCAAATCACAGAATACGCAACTAAAGGTGACTTAAACAGTGAGGCAAACTTCTGTCACATAAAAAGAAATTCAAAGATAAGTTGTTCCTGGCTTAGTTAATGTAATGGCTTAACAATGCCATGAAGGATCCAGGTGCTTTTCATCTTTTGGCTTTTTTTGCTCAAGCTCATCCCATCCTGGTAGGAAGATGGCCTTTATACATTATTTCTAGCTATTATATCCTCACACAATTCTGTTGGAAGTTAGTGTATTAGTTATCTCTTGCTGCATAACAAATCAAGTGGCTTAAAACAACAATAAAATTTATTCTCTCATATGGTTTCTGTGGGTCAGGGATTTGGGAGCAGCTTGGTTGGGTGGTTTTATCTCAGGGTCTTTCATGAGGTTTCAGCCAAGGTCAGCTGGGACTGCATTCATCTGAAGGCTTGACTGAGGCTGGAGGAAAGGTGGCTCACCTACATGGCTGGCAAGTTGCCTGAGTATCTGTAGGACATGGTGGTTGGCTTCCCCTAGAGCACAGCAGGTGATTTTGCTCACCAAGAGATATTTAGCAATGTCTGGAGACATTTTTGGTAGTCACACTGGGAAGGCGCTATTGACAATCTAGTGGATAGGGATCAGGGATGCTGCTAAACATCCTTTACTGTACAGGACAGGCCCTTACATGAATTCTGAAGCCCAAAATGTCAATAATGCTAAGGTTGATTCTGCCCTACAGCACATGAACCAAGAGAGCAAGGTACATGCTGAAATGTCTTTTATTACCTAGCTTTGGAAACCTCTGTATTCTATGTTGAAGGGACCTACACAAGGCTGTGAATACCAGCAGGTCGGGCTCATTGGGAACCACTGAGGGGATGGTTAACATAGACAGGATGTTTCTCCTGTCTTGTATTGTCCTGTGTTCTCTTCTTTCCTTCCTTCCTTCTTCCTTCATTCTTCCATCCTCCTGTCCTCTTCCTTCCTTTTCTTTTGTTTTTTCAATTTACAATGAGGAAAACCATTCCCATAATCCCTAGAAGACTTCACTTCACTTCTCATTCGTCAGTGTTGGATGATATGCCTATGTCTAAGCCACTCATTAGGAGAGATGATAGAATTGCTATGATGACTTTAGATCATTTAACATTCACCCTTCTTTCCTCGACAGCTGGGGAGAACCGTATTCTTCACATACATGGAGCATAAATTCTTAAAATCAGAGTTTTATGAGTAAGGAAAAAAGAAAATGGGTAAAAAAAGAAAAAAGGGTAAAGAAAGGAAAAAGAAAAAATGGGTAAAGAAAGAAAAAAGAAAATGGCTTTGAAAATGGGTAACAGAATTTGCTACCTTTGCTTACCATTGTCTTTTGTATCACACACTTTCTTTTCAGATTCAGTTTTCTTCTTGGTGGAACATATTTTCTAATAATTTAGAGGCTGTCAGCCATTTGAATCCTTATGTGTCTGAAAATATCTGTCATTATTTTGTACTTTCTCTTGTTAATTTAGTTGGGTAACCTAGAATACTTTGAGTATAAGGGAATACTATGTATTCCCTTAGAATACTTTGTTCCATTCTCTATTAGCATCTATTGTGTGTGTGTGTGTGTGTGCTTAGAATACTTTGTTCCATTCTCTATTAGCATCTATTGTTCTTGACGAGTAGGTAACCTCGTTAGGATTTTCTTTTTATTCTTTCCTGCTCTGAAATTCTATCATGATGTGTTTAAGTGTGGTATTTTTTCCTTATGGCTCAGCACTAAATGAGAGCTTTTAACCTAAAGATACTGGAATATTTTCTATCATTTTTTGAATATTTCCTTCCATCCATTCTCTAGATCCCCTAGTAGATGAATATCGAAACTTCTGAATTTATTCTCTGTATTACTTAAATTTTCTCTCATTGCTTTATCATTTTCCCTGTAATTAGGAATAAAAATGAGCCATCTTCTATTTATTAATTCACCTTTCAGTTAAGCCTGAGTCAGTATAGCATGGTGATTAAGAACATGAATTCAAATCCTGATTCAGCCATTTATTACTGTTACTTTGGATAACTTAATTAACTTTTCTGTTCTTCAGTCTATCCATCTGTAAAATGAATTTGCTAATAATATTACCTAGTCTATTAGATTATAAAGATTAAATTGTTAATACATGAATGCTGTCTTAGTCCATGTGGGCTGCTATAACAAAATACCTTAGGCTAGGTAATTTATAAATAACAGAACTGTATTGCTCATGGTTCTGGAAGCTGGAAAGTTCAAGATCAAAGTGTCAAGAGATTTAGAGTCTGGTGCAGGCCTATTCTTCACAGATGGAGCTGCTATAATTTAGATGTTTTTCCCCCCAAACTTCATGTTGAAATTTGATCCCCAACTTTGGAGGTGGGGCCTAATGGGAGGTATTTCAGACATGGAGGTGGAACCCTCATGAATGGTATTAGTTACCACTAAAGCTGGTTGTTAGAAAAAGCCTGGCCCCTCTCCCTCTTGCTTTCACTCTTGCTGTGTGATTTCTGCACATGCCAGCTCCCCTATGCCTTCAGCCATGAGTGGAAGCAGCCTGACTCTCACCAGAAGCAGATGCTGGTGCCATGCTTTTGTTCAGCTTGCAGAACCATGACACAAACAAACTTCTCTTCTTTATAAATAAAGCTGGGTATAAATTTATACCCAGCTTCAGATATACCTTTATAGCAACACAGACTAAGAAAGGAGCCTTCTATGTGTCCTCAAGTAGAGGAAGAACAAACAGGCTTTCTCAAACCTCTTTTATAAGTACACTATTCCATTTATGAGGGTTCTGCCCTAACGATCTAATCAATCCCCAAAGACCCTCCTTAATACATATAGTTACTATGGGGGTTAGGTTTCAACATATGAATTTTGGGAGGATGCAAGCATTTGGACCATAGCAAATGCTTAGAAGAAGTATGGTATTAGTTATTTTCAATCTATTTTTTTATATTTTATATAAAATATAATTCATATTTGATATATTTCAATCATTTTTTCAATCATTTTTTATATTTTGACATATTTCAATCATATTTCAATTTTGACATATTTCAATGACATATTTCAATCATTTTTTAATATTTTAATATATTCTTAATTAGCCCTCTAAGTAATTTGTTTTCATAATAACCTGATTATTTTATGAATGTAAGCTCCCATATTATCTCTCTGAGGATAAAAAATGTATATTATGAATATTTTTGTTTTATTAACAATAACTTTGTGTGTTGATTCTGTTTGTTAATTGAAATTGGTGCCTCTCTTTCATAGTAATAGATTGCCAAGAATGATTGGTGATTCTGGGTCGTCCATCCATTCCCACCTTTGTAACTCTCATTTGCCTATCTGTGGTGCCAATTCTGAGTGCTTGCTTTGCAATCCTGGTGGAAGGGGGAAAGGACAGGACATGGTTCGAGGCACAGGATACAGCTAGTTTGCCTTCTCTGTGTGTGTGGTCCCACTTCTCCTGGCAATTGGCGAGCAGTTCCCTGGGGTACTTCCCTGCCTCCTTGGCCCAAGTACCCATACTCATAGAGTGTGTGCACTGGCACTGAGATTGGTCACATTCACCTGCTGAATTTCATTGCCCTACTAAATTTTCTTTGCAGCAGTTATGGCTATGCATGTGATACAGAGAACAATATAATGGATACCCACTACTAACCATCTAGATTTAACAATTCCAAACATTTAGCAATATTTGCTTGAAATCTTTTTTAAAAAATAAATTAGGTATAATTGTTGGAGCCTTCTTTTTGTCTTCCTCCCTTCTTATTCTTCTCAAATTGATTTATGTCATTCTTGCTTGTGTCCCTGCTTTTTATTGTTTACCACATATTTACACAGACAAAAACAACATATCATATTATTCTGCAGGCTTTCAAACTGCACATAGATGGTATTAGTTCTTTCAATACTTCAGATTATGCCAAGAAGAAAATCTCACTTTGGTCAAGTCTCGAATGCCTTTTCCTGCATTTGCTATTCTCTCTTTCAACAAACTAAGAGCAGACCTTAGGCTAGAAGCCTGGGGCAGGCAATGACAGCTAGCTAGAATTTAATAATACTGCTTTATTTTCCATTATATTTATTTTAATTGTTTCCTTTCTTTTTTTTTAAAGAAAATGTTGTTAGTTTTCCATTTACAGTAGTGATTTATTATTTTAAATTAAACATATAAAAAAAAGAAAAATGTTTATTTAAAGACAAATGTGAAGTAACTAGTAATACTGCAGACAGTACACAGACCAGCAAAAAATCAGAAAGTTTGTATTGGAATAGCTGAAACTCAATACACACTTGACCTAAAGAATGAAGTTCAAGGTCCTTAATAGAGCATGCAAAGCTCCACCTGTTTGACCTCTGCTTTCTTCCCTAGTCCTAACAGTCAACATCATTACTTCACCTCCAGCTGTACAAACTGCTTGGAGTTTCCTCCTCTTGGCCATCTCTTACCAGCTGGAGGTGCCTTTGCTATTGTAATCTCTCCTTTTATGGTATTTCCTGCAGCCAGAACCCCTGCCTTCATCTGGCTCTCTCATCATCCTCTCATGCTCTTAGGAAGCCTTGCTCCACTTAGCACCTATTACTATGTGTGTGTGTGTGTGTATATATGTGTGTGTGTGTGTGTGTGTGTATGTATATATACACACACACACACACACACATTCACACACACACATATACTAAATCCAAGTGTAGAATTTAGTGCCAGCTAAAGACCCTCGTGGTCTAAACAATTTACTAATGTTAAAAGAATCAATCTGTGATATTTCAAATATAATCTGGGGTATAAAATGAAGGCTATCCACAGAAAAATTATTTATCTCATATTTCCATGTTTGAAGTTTTAAAAAATAGTTCTGTTTATAGATCACAACACTTGATCTTAAGTTGTTTTCTTTCAACTCTGAGACAGTACATTAACCTGTTGCCTAGAAGAAGGGTTAAAAAAAAAGAGGACATGGAAGGGAAAAATTAAGACAACGATGGGGAATGATAGTTTTTTACTTCATTTTGACATGGCGGCTTATTGCATGTTACTGCCTCAAGCTCGATGATTTTATTAAAATAAGTCAAATAGAGTGTTTTAAAAATAACACGGTTAAACATAAAGTTGAAAGGCAAAAACTCTGAAACTCTTGTGGCCATTGAGATGTTGGAAGAATTTTCAGGTTTCATGGAGCATGATCCACAACTGTGAATAAATATAGTGTCGTTAACAAAAACAGTACAGCGTACACCAAATGCTGTTTCAAAGTCTTCTAATGTCTGCAGTCGTGATGAACTAACTGCATTGGGTTTCATTCATTCGAAACCCTTATTCTGAAGCTGATATTCACACTACATGATTAACAAACCCTCAGTGCAATTGGCCAGAAGGAAATTCTCCTCTTAATAGAAGTGTAAAGAATGCTTTTAAAGCTACTGCTGTATTTGGAAAAAAGTTCAGTTTTAGCGTTTTCTTCCAAAGTATTTCGCGTGTTCAAGGCGGGAGAGGAAGGGCTGCACGGCGGTTGGGGGAAGTGACTTCACACGCTGGATTACAGAGGGTCATGTTTACCACTGTAAACATCCAACCTTTAAATGAGAAAGCGGGCCAAGTGAAACCGCTCTACGCGTTCATCTTGCAGGTTACATCGAACCCGCCAGCCAAACTTTCTCCATCAGCCCGGGTAGGCCAGCCGCGGAAGCGCAGCCTGAGAGAGTATTGCTGGGTCCTGGGACGGCGTGTGTTGCCTTATCCAATATTGGCCTCGGAGTTACCTGAAGCATTCTAACTACTGCACCCAGAGAACGAGCTCCTCGTTTCAATTCGGTTGTTTCCGTGGGGAATTGCGGCACCAGCAGGTCCTGGGTGTGGCGATGAAAGAGCTCAGATCTCCCAGTTTTCCCGTTTCTGGCAAACCTTTCCAGCCCCGAAGCAGCTAGAGACCCGCACCCGGGACCCGCCATCCGACATCCCAGGGCAGCGGGCGGACCAGACCCCGCGGCCGCTGCAAACTGGCGAAGCGCCGGGCTGGGCGCACTATGCGTGTGCGCTTCTCCCTACTCGTTCCGCGCCTGGAGGCGGATCCCCTTCCTTGCACACAAGTCCTTATATGCACCGGTTGCACCAGCCTGCGTTACTCCAGCCCCACAAATAATTAATGGGGGAGAGAGCGCCAGATTCTTTTTTCTCTGGCTTTTTTTTTTCAGCACTCGAGCATTTGAACCTCACCGAGAAACCCCAAGATGCATGCGATTGAAGGGCCATTTTGCTGCAGTGCACGAATCGGACACACAAAAATAGAGCTTGATTGCCCACAATAAGCCCGTCAAGGTTCAGGAACAGCCCTTCTGATTCTGTCCGATTAGCCCGCAAAAGCCTGGGCGGAAAGGGTGCGCGCCCCTCCCCCATCCACGCTGGTGCAGAGGGACCGGGTCAGGAAGCGCGGCCTCTCCCCAGTCGGAGACCACGCCTCCCCGCCTCTCTTTTTTTCCCCCCCTTTACTCCTCCCAGGAAGCGGTGATAGACAGTTCTGTGTGGTTCTCCACCCCCACCCTCCCCCTGCTGAGTGGAGGAGTTGATGTGTCTCATTATAACAGCGAATGCAGCCGCCATCCACGCACAAGCAAAGAAGCATGTCCCATTTAAATACACCCACGCAGCCCCAGCGCCCTTAGCCGATCGGGGCGCTCAGCCCACACGCGCCGCGGCTCCGGGCTTGGAGATCCGCGCCGGCTGGGCTCCCGGACCCGGCGGACAGACGCGCGGAGGAGCGGGATCCGGCGCCGCGGGGCTGTGGTGGGCGGGGGAGGCTGGGCCCCGGGCCTCTGGCGCGACACCCGCATGAGGACGCGAGTGAAATAGACCAAGGTGGAATTTCCAAGGGAGAAGCTTCGGGGTGGTTTTGGTCCATTTCTCCAGCGAAGAAGTAGACATGGCGAGCGACTCCCCGGCTCGCAGCCTGGATGAAATCGATCTCTCGGCTCTGAGGGTGAGCAGGACGTGTTTTCTGGTCCTTTCCCGTGGGTCGGGTCGGGGTGGTCGGGCTCGGCGCGGGGACTGGGGCTGGGGCTGGGGCTGGGGCAGGTGGGCAGCGGCGCGGGAATGCGCCCGGGAGAGAGCCTGGGTTCGCGTTCTGATTCCGGGTAGCTGAGGCGCTCTCGGCTGAGCCCCTACGGCAGGGCTGCGCGGTACGCGTCCTCCTCCGGCTGTGGCCGCGGCTCCCCGAGGGCTCCTGGAGCTTATGCCAGGTTCATCTTAGACCGGCGTAAGAGCATTAAAACGAAAGGCGTGTGTGTGTGTGTGTGTGTGTGTGTGTGTGTGTGTGCGCACGCCCCGGGCAGTTTATGGTGCCAAGGCGCGAGACCCAACTGTCCCTTTCTGCTAAAAGAATAAGAGCGTGAATAAAGGCACTGGCCCCTCACGTTTCACAGCTACCTGCAGGATGACATTGTGAGCTCGGCTGTCCCCGCGGAGCCGAACCTGCCGCTCCGAGGGGGGCGGTTGTTGCTATGCTGGTCCTGTAGGTGGCCGCCGCCGCCCCCTCCCCCTTCCCTGCCTCCCGCGCCCGGCTCCCTTTCTGCACCCGCTTCAGGGCCAGTCTGCCACTCACCTTTATTCGCGGTTTTACCCCAGCCCTGCCCGTGCCTTCTGACTTCGGGGCTGTAACATCTCAGTTTTATGGCTTAACTTAAGCAGGTGAAAGGGATGTGTTTTCTGCCTTTTCCCAAGCAGACCGGAACTCCCTGGAGCGTGTGTGTGTGTGTGTGTGTGTGTGTGTGTGTGTGTGTGTGTGTCCCAGTGTCTGTGGCCGGTTCTTTGTAGAGCACCTCCCTCCCCGCAGCGCGGCTGCTCTGCGTTTACCTTCACGTGAATTACCTCAGACCCGGTTTCATTGTATTGACTAAGACATCACCGATATAGAATCCATTTTGCTGTTGTTTTGAGACCAGAATCCCAGGAATCCCAGTGCGGCCTCGGCGCTCCCCCACCCCCAACTCCCAAACCCATCACACTCCTTCGGGGAAGGGGGCAGAGCTTTCTTGCCATTTTAATTAGATGCTGCCTGCCGGGAAGGGGTGAGGGGTGGGGATGGTGGCAGCCGCGGGGGTTTGAGAAGGATTGGACTTCAATTTAAGGACTGCTCCTTCCTCTCTTGCACCAAAAATAAAATTTAAGAAATAGCAAGTGCTTGATGTATGGAGGTGGGTGAGACTGAATTGATGGTGGCTCTCGACAGGCAGACACGCAGGATGGATGAAGCATGGAATTTCACACGCCCTCCCGAGCAATACATTGTTAGCTTGAAGCTAAATCTTGGGGCCATTTACCTGAATCTCTCCTGACATTGCCTCATATCCACGGATATTTTAAAGAGCTACCTTTATAGTCAAAGTGGTACTTTTCCTTTCGTCTCCTTAAACCTTTCTTTTCTAACATCTTTTTCTAACCCCTCCCCCTGTTGGTCCAAGAGGTGAGGTTTGAGCAAGGCAGTCAAGGAGTTTAGAAGCAACAGAGATGCCATTTGAAACGGGCTGTTGTGATAGTCTGGCCCATTCATACATTATTACTGTAAGGTATGACCCTGGTGTGGAAATGCCACATCCAGAAACCGCTGCCCCCTGGGCAGGGGGTGGAGCTGGTAACAGGGCGGGTGCTTTCACCGAGTCTGTGGCTTCCTGCTTTACTAAGTGTATGTATTCATTTGCCCTACTTTCTGCACTGGGAGTTGCTGCCTCGGGTTAATCAGGTGGATGGATGGCCCAGACCTGAAAGGAGTGGAGGAAGAGAGTGGAAGAGGGAGAGAGTGGCAAAGAGAGATGAGATCTGAACAATGGGCCAGGCTTGTGATTTCCCTGAGCTGAAATCTTGACATCACTGCTCTAATGGAAAGCGCTCTGATGTGATTTTAAGTTGGGCCAGGACTTGTCCCTTGTGGGCTTTTCCTGGGGAAGGTTTTCTGAGATACTGAGCAAAGAACCTGCAGTTGTGGGAGCAACCATGAAAGCTCACCGGGCAGAGTGTGGTTCACACCTGGGAAGACTGTGTTTGTGTGAACTGTATTTTGAAAAGATATTTTTGCATGATTTACTGAAATTGCTCTTTGTGGCCTGAGCTGCCAGGTTAGTGCTCTGCCTGTGTTTTTCTGCCTGCCCGGAGGTGTGGAAATAGGGAGGGCAACAGCCAGCCTGGCTGGAAGACTTAAATGTACGTGGGGACAGTTACATCCTTAGGACTAGGGTCTTTGACCAGTCTTGTGGGTGAGGCATGCGGGTCTGAGTGGGTCCAGAGGCCACACAGGTAATCTCCACAAATCAGAGGGCAGATCATCCCTGCATCCCCAAATTTGGAGAGGTGGGCTCATCTAAAGGAGAAGCCTCATTTGTTCCTAAGCCCTCAGTAAAGCCTGCCTGCTGAGCACCTCCTGGGGAATGCCTGACCCCTGAAATGCAGCCAAGGTCAGTGGCTTCTAGGAGAATTTACTGCAGCCTTACCAATCCCTTGCTGTTTCAGTGGCTCTTTAATGTACACAATCAATGCTCTTTTTGTAAACCCTGGGCTCAATGCATTAAAAGCAGATCCTGTCTGGAGAGGCCTTTATTCTTCTCACTTTGGGGGCTTATTGTTCTCAGCCAGTGATCCCAGACTGGACCCAGTCTAAAATTTCCCCAAATAGCAACAATGCATAATTTAAACCAGAGCAACCAGTGACAGCACTGATCATTTAAATTATGCAAGATTTGGATGGTTTTTAAAAGTGAGATGAAGCAGGGTCTTCTTTGGTTAGAAAATACATAATCTGAAGCCAGTTTATTTAGTCCTGATTTTAAAGCTCACAGAAAAACTAAATCTTGGGGGATTTGGTGGGGGCAGGGGAGAGATGGCTTCAAAGATTTAGAGCTGGAAGAGTATTGTAAAACACTCTGTGACTCCTTCCGTTTAACACATGGGAAACTGAAGCCCAGAGAAGTGAAATCTGTTACCCAAGGTCACATAGCCACCAGGAGAGAGGCTGGTTTGAGGAGAGAGTCTATGTTTCCTGACTCCTCATTCAGTGCTCTTTTTTTCAAGTCACATTGTCTGTGGCTGAATCAGAAATCAATAATACATTTTCTGCCTGAGCACAAAAAAACAGCAGAGAGGACTGATTTCACCAGGGTCATAGGATTTTATTGAAAATGTATTAAAAATGGGAAACTGTATCATGCAAATAAGCTTGTAATACATAAAACCACAGAGCTTTAAGGTACCTTTGGAATTCATCTTGTCCATCCCCCCACCAATGCCTACTTTGCAGGCAAATGACTGTCTGAATCATCCGGGACAGATGGTTGTCCTGCACGGGTAACCTCTCTCAGTAACCTGTCTCCATTTGAACATGTCCCAAGGGGTCAGGCTAGACATAGACATTATTCAGATGTCTCTGCGTGCGAGGTTTACAGAATTCTGTGCAGGTTTTGTATAATCTATGTGGATACGTACATTATGTATAGTATTATGAATATAAACTCTATCCATGTGGGTGTATGAAAATGTGTGCACACATACATAGGCTACAGCAAACAACTTACTCATTCAAACCTGGGGCTTGAGTCATCCTTGCTTCAAGACATCACAGTATTAAGAAGAATGAAACTTGCCACCAGTGTGCTTTCTTACATATGAGGTGAGCTCAGCCCTTAAAAGCTTTTTGGAGATTAGCATACATCTGAGCCCGAGCACCTTGGCTGTCTTCAGCTTGGCCCACAGGGTAAGGCATTCAAGGCCAAGCTTTGGCTGCTGCTGACCTCATCCTGCCAGCTTTTGCCAGGTGTCACACACACTTTTGTATTCGAACAAAATTAGATGACCTATGCTTGTCTTTCCCCGTACCCCCCACTCCCTTCTGGGCCTAGCCATTTATTTCTCCATCAAAACCCAGATTTAAGAATTGACCTCATCTAAGGGCCTTGCACATCCCTTCCGCTACACTTTTCATGCTCGTTATAATTGGTGTGGGGTTTTCTTTCTGCCCTTCACTAAACTTTGAGCTTCTTGAGGGCAGAGGCTAGGCCTTGTTCATCTTTGAGTCTATTCAATTGGTTGAATAAACGAATGAATGAATGAGTACACAAATGAATGCACGAGTGTGTGAATGGAGTGTAATGAGCACTGGCTTCTGGGTTCTGTGACTTTTGTCATTTAACCTTAGTTAATGTAATAGGAATGATCAAAGCTGCTTGCCTTCCTCAAATGCTGGTTTCAGAATCAAATAAAGCATTTATGGCAATGCTTTAAAAACCATAAAGCACTATACAAATATGTTTACTTCAAGATTAAGTAAAATTTTATGGTTAAAATTGATTCCACCAACATTTGATCCCAATGATTGCACCTAATGGAAAATAATCCAAGAAAAAGATGTCAGAAAGTCCTGCCTCTTTTTAACAGCACCTCAACAGATCTTAGCTGCCTTTTCCCTTTTATGTGCTAGTATGATGTTTCTCTGATGGCTTGAGTTGAGCTTTGTCCCAGTATTAGCATTCATTACATATGAGGTGAGTTCAGCCCAGAAGCTTTGTGGAGATTAGCATATTTCTAAACTAGTATCAACTATCAGGATTATTTATCAAAACCTTTTTAAAAACTTTTCTTCTTTATAGATTATCAATTATTCAAATATATGCAAACACACATTCATTGTTTCTGCCTTTCCAAAGTTCTTTTTCCCACCTTGGGAGGTGGGGTGGACCCCTAAAATAATATCACTAATAGCCTAGTATTTAAAACCTGGTCAGAGTTCTCATGGTGCTTAAAGAATTCTTGAAACACTATCAATTCATTACCCCAGAGTGCTAAATTAAATTTGTATTAAAATGAGATTTTAGTGAAGTTGTATGAACTGATAACCGTATCTCTAAATGAGACTAGTATGGCAGTTTTTTTATTAGATACATTTGTTGTTTTTCAAAGATATTAAACAGGTGTGTGGGTTTTTTTTGTTTGTTTTTTTGGTTTTTTTTGCAATGACATTGCCTCATAAAAATTAGGGGTGTACTGGTAGTTATCAGAACATCTGAGAAATAGGAATAATCATTTTCCATATTCATTATAACTGGAGTAATCTTTACAAAAGCTAATATAAGTCATGGTTTGCTGTTTGCATAAGTAGCTACTTGGGAGGTCACGGATTGCTTTGTTGATGAAAGAATACACAACACTTTTCTTTCATGGAAATATCACACTTTACCCCAACTTATCTGTAAGGCTCTTTGAAATCTTATACTTTTGATTCTTGCTGGTTGGCCCTTTCTTCTTTCTGAATCTCTGCCCTGGAATTAATTTTCTGTGCCCTTCTTGTTTCCACGCCATTCCTTCTTTCCGTGATAGGGGTTCTAAAGTCTACCCAGCCTGGAGCTCCTGAGATTGAATCATGGCCGCTACGCCCAACTGAGCACAACGGTCTCTGATTCCATTTCTGATAGAATTTGGGATAACTTGAGTCTGAAAGATGCTTTAATGTCAAATTGGTTCTTACATTTCTGTGGGGTAAAGTAGCTCTCTGAGAACAGGACCTAAACTGGTTTGTTAGCAGTATGCTGAGGATTCCAAGAAAATCTTGACGATATTTTTGAATGAAATGTTATTCTGCACATATAAATATAAGGTTTCTAGTGGAGAGAGAGGGAGGACTTAAGTAGAAAATGTTGGATGAATTCCGCTTGTGATTTCTTCCACTCTGGTTGGAAGCTTATTTCCCTCTAGAGCAAGATGATTCTGTCCACTTGTTTTTACATTCCCTCCCTGTCTCAAGTGGTCGCCTTTAAGTTCTCAAAATACATTTTATTTCACCCCAACCTTAAAATTCCTTCCTTAATATCTCTTCCATGGATCCCTTTGTCTTCATGCTTCCCTGAAATTGCCCTGGGCAACACCCATAAGACCCACTACCCGGGTCTCTACCACCAGCCTTCTCTCCTGACTGGTCTCTCTTGTACACTGTAGCCATGCTACTCTTCCTAAAGCAGAGTTTCAATCAGGTTCTTATTCAAGGCCTTTTCTGACTCCTTAGTCTACAGACCAAAAACTGAACTCTTTAGCATGTTGCCATGACCTGTATAATTTGGAGGGGTTTCTAGGCAAGCTCTGCTGTTTTAATGAACAACTTCATTCTCCTGATGGGTGCTTTCTAGGGACTGCTCTGCCTCATTCTCCTTTTCTGTACCTAGTGCCCTAACACTAAGCATTCACATGCCACTTTTCCCACAAAATTGCCCCTAATTTCTCTCAGATAGATGTTGTTCCTCCCACTTATAAAGTCTCTTAGAACTGACCTCATACTTCTTTTGTAATACTCAGACTTTCTATTTTGGATTATATTCACTGTTAGACAATAAGCTTCCTGAAGGTGATGTACATATTTGATTTATTTAGAGATACCCACTAGTTTTTTTTACACAGCAGATAATAAATAAATATTGAATTAATAAAATATATAATGTACAATCTTTTTAGGAGAGCTAGAGGTGGTGCGGCATAGAGAAAATGTGGAAACTCCAGATAGAGGCCAGTGCTGAACATAGCACAATTTTAGGGAACATGAACTACATTGTATTCTATGTTGTACACGCCAGAGGACACCTTTTCTGTAGAGTGCAACTCCAGTGATGCTAATTACATAAAGTACAATTCCTGGGGCAACAATTATGAGAAATATAATGCCTGGTCCTGGGAAGGTATTCCTATTTCTAGAATTTTCTTGCTATGGAAAATATTTTCTCCATTGTCTCCATATTCTAAGTTTTGAGAAATTTTAAACACTGTGGGTTAGAATTCCAAGCAGTTGTGTGTGTGTGTGTGTGTGTGTTGTGTTGTGTGTTTGGAGGGTGTTTCAATTCTTTTAATAACTTGATAATGTTTACAACTACTATTTTTATTAAATAATAATAGAAAGGTGGGAAGAGTTGTGCTTCTAGGGTTACCCACTGGAAGATGACCCTGAATTTTTATCTTGATAGAGCTGGCAGTGGGTGGTGAGAGTTTGGGAGATGGTGAAATTGAATGAAGAGACATCCGTTAGGTGTGAGGAGCCCAGAGCCATATGCTGGCCCTGACACCTCACTCTCTGGGCTTCAGTTTAGTTACCTGTAACTAAAGTGGTTACCAACTATGAGTGGTTTGGGCTATAAAATCCCAGAAGTGACTTACAGCACTGTCATTTTACTGTGATAAATCCTGGGATATGAAAAGGAACTAGAGGCAGGACTGAGGGTATTTAAATAGCAGTGGATTCTTACTCTAGGTGTTGGGCTCACCAAGGTATTGCAAACTATGGATCTCAATGAGCTGGGAATTACTGTTCAAAGTAATATTCCTACCTCATTTTTAGATGACTTGCTTTTTTCCAATCTTAGATTCTGATTTATCAATTAAAACGTGGTTTTGGTTTTTGAAGATGGAACAGTAAGACCAAGGGCTGACGGTCTTGCTAGGTATTACCTTGTAGTGTTGCTGCTGGGTACCCTGGTTTAGACTCAGAAGTAAGGATGAACTTTCAAGTGCTGTTTCTCTAATCAGTGAAAGTAGAACCTTAGCAGTATAGATCAAATGGAATATTTGTGAACTTTAACACTAAATTTAACACTAAATTTCTGTTTAACACTAAACACTATATGTTTCTGACATTTGTTTGATTAGTGTAGTAGAAGGCACAAATTTGGGTGCAGTGTAAATCTGGGTGCAGGCCAGCATTCCATCATCTGTGACATATGATTAACTGTAGGAAAAGAAATGCACATGGTATCCAGTATTCATTCATTCATTCAGTCATTCATGTGTTTGTGTATGTACTCATTCAGAACATATTTATTGGGTGCTGCTAGCTGCTGGGGTTAAGCTGAAGACATCACTGGCATGGTTTCTACACACATGATTGGTTGGAGAAGACAGTCATAGGCCACTTTTGCCCTTTTCACTACACTTTAGCCACACTGATCTTTCATGCTTTGTGAACATGCCAAGCTTGTTCCTGTAGTTCCCCATGTAAAAAAACTCTACCATCAGATTTTCACAAGGAGGGCTCCACATTATTATTTAGTCTTAGGTCAGATGCTGCCTGTATTGTTACTTATCTATTTCTGAATAAAAGAATACTCCTAAACTTAGTGGCTTAAATCAATAATAACCATTAATTCTCTCTCATAGTTTTTGTGAGTCAGGACATAGAAGTGACTTACCTGGGTGGTTTTGGCTTGAGGTCTCTCCTGAGGTTGCAGCAAGATGTTGGCAAAGAGAGGCTCGAAGGTTGTCTTCTGAAGGCTCGACTGGGGCTGGAGGATCTCTTTCCAAGATGGTTCACTTATGTGGTGCTGCTTATTGGCAGGAGGTCTCAGTTCTTCCCCATATAGGCTGCTCAGTGGGCTGCTGGAGCATCCTCATGACATGGTGCTGGCTTTCCCCACATAGAGCAATCTGAGAGAGCAAGGCAGAAGCCACAATGTCTTTTATGACCTCACCTCAGAAATCACACACCATCATTTCTGCAATACCCTGTTGGCGATCCAGGTCAGCACTATTCGTTGTGGAAAGGAACTACAGGAGTGTTAATGCTAGAAGGCAGAAGTCATTGAGGGCCCTCTTGAAGGCTGCCTACCACATGAGAGGCCTTCTTTGCCATACAACTCTAAAATAACCCTCCCTCCCACCCTATGACCATACAATCCAGTGTTTTATTGTCTTTAAAACAGTTATGATTATCTGAAGTTTGTTTTTGAAATCTGTCTCCCCGACTGGAACTAAACTTTGTGAGAATAAGGATCTTGCCTGTGTATTTCCTGTTATATTCTTGGTTCCTCCAACTTTGTCTGGCACATGGTAAATATTGATTGAATCAATATCAGTTGTGTGAGTGAAATTAATTTATTTAGAAGGGATCTCATATATTTCACGCCTCCATAAAGTAAGTCGTGGCATTCTAATAAAGGGAACAAATAGCATAAAGCCATAAAACCATGATAATGGTATTAATAACATAAAAAATAAGAGAGGATTGTGTTTGCATATCTAGCAGTCTGTATACCTATTTATCTATCTGTCTGTCCATCTAGGGCTTAGTAATTTAATTTACCTCTTTTCTAGGTTGAAGTTGGGGCTAAGAGAATTTACTTGTGTTGTCCAAGGTTAAAATCCCAACAGGAGAGTTTAGTCCCATTTTGCCATGCTCCTCAACTAGGTTGTTAACATTTTGGACATCTTAGTGTATCAGTTATTCCCATCACACAAAAATAAATCTAACAAAGTGTGGATACGAAGGTGATTATTATGTTGCTTGCACATACAGGATACACTTAAGATAGCCTACGCTCCATTGTGAAGTAACGAAATCTATTTAATTGGATGGTAAAAAGAGAGCTCAGCCAAGTTAATCAAAATAGATTAGCAGTGTTTTAGATGCCGAAAATAAAAAGTTAAGATTCTTGGCTGGGTGTGGTGGTTCACACCTGTAATCCTAGCACTTTGGGAGGCCGAGTGGGTGGATTGAGGCCAGGATTTTGAGACCAGCCTGAGCAAGAGAGAGCCCCCATCTCTGCAAAAAATAGAAAAATTAGCTGGGCGTGGTGGTGTGCGCCTGAAGTCCCAGCTTCTCAGGAGGCTGAGGCAGGAGTAATTGCTCTGGCCTGGGAGTTTGAGGCTGCAGTGAACTATGATCATGCCACTGTACTCTGGCCCAGGTGACAGAGTGAGACACTGTCTCAAAGAAAAAAATATAAAAAACCCCGATTATGTGTGGAGAGAGATCAACTGTAGGAGATTGAAATATGTGCTGGATCCTAAGCTGAATAAGTAGCCAGGATGACCCTCTGGGGCTCCAAGGCCTGGAAAAGGTAGACTGTGAATGAGAACAAAGACTGCAGAATTGTTACAAATTCATTGAAATTTAAAAAAGCTTTTTCTTGTGTAATAAAAGCAACACAAAATCATTGCAGAAAATTTGGAAAATGGAGAAAAAGCAAAAAGAATCCCCAAATCATCCATGTTCATGATTTCCAATCATAACCATTTTGATATATGGCTGAGTAGCTTTTTCCTATACATAGCTAAATAAATATCTTTTAAAAAGTTGAGATCCTATTGTATATATTATATGCAACTTTTAAAAAACTTTATAATTAGCCATTTCTCATCCTGTTAATGGTTTTCTATGGCATAATTTTTAAAAGTTATCATAGGGAATTTTAAACTTATGTAAAAGTAGACCAAATATTGGAATGCTCATACATTACTGGTAGGAATATAAAATGGTACAGCCATTTTGGAAAACAGTTTGTCAGTTCCTCAAAATGTTACATATAAATAGAATTACCAGGTGACACGGGAATTCCACTCCTAGGTTTATACCCAAGAAAACTGAAAACATATTTTCCTATAAAAATGTGTACATGAATGTTTATAGAAGAAACAACTCAAATTTCTATCTACTGACGAATGAATAAATGAAATGTAGTGTATCTATACAGTAGAATATTATTCTGCAATAAAAGAAAGATAGATGCTACAACATGTATGAACATTATGTTATGTGAACGAAGCCAAACACAAAAGGCCACATGTTGAATGATTCCTTTCTATAAAACGTTCATGGTAGACAAATCTATATAGACAGAGAGTAGACTAGTGGTTGCCTGGGCTCAAGGAGAGAGTAGCTGGGGAGTGACTGCTAATGTCCTAAACTAGATAGTGGGGATGACTGCACAACTCTGTGAATATACTAAAAACCACCTATATACTCCAAAAAAGTGAATTTTAATGGACTATGAATTAAATCTCAATAACATTGTTATTAAAAAAGTAGACACAAGAGTAAATGACCACTCTACTTAAAAAATTATCTCATGACTTATCTTGTTTCATCCATACTCCACCTACTTCCTCCCCCATATTATGTTGAAGCATCATATCATTTCATTTATAAATATTTCAGCATGCTTCTTAAAAATATATAACTGCGATACTGTCACCATGCCTAAAAAATTTAATATGTAATAACATATTCAGTCAGTGTTCAAATTTCTAATCATATGTTTCTAGGCTGCTTTATTTATTATGGAGATATATCATAATGTATTTAACCAATTCCTGCTTATGAAGCTTGAGGTTATTTCCAACTTTTCAACCCTTATAAATAATGCGTCAATAAACATCCTTACACATAAGTCTTTGTGTGTATCTCTGTTTCTTTAGGATAATTTCTTAGAAGTGGAATTTGGAGGGAAAGTGTATGGATGCTGTTTAAGGCTGTTGATGTTACCAAATTAACTTCCAATTTCTTGTGATGTAGGTGTGTATCATTTACAAATGAACACATAAGGCTTAGAAAAATCAATTAATTTACCAAAGGTCATAGAGCTACTAAATGGCTGAGTTTATGACTGACTGGCCCCAGATCCACTGCCTATAGTGACTCACATGGGTCTCATTTGACTTACAGCCCTTGTCATGACATCAGAATTGTCTGGTGCATTATCACTCTGCGGCTCATAGATTTTCCAGAAGGCTTTGGCTTTGGGTACAAGTTCTTTTCTTTGATGGGCATAGTGGTGTTTTAAGAGTTATTTCCAGGGTATTTCCTCCTTATGATTTTGTTTTATAAATGACCAATATCAGCTTAGAAAGTGTTAAATTATTTTCTTGCCTAAAAACGTAAAATATGGACCATTTGGGGATTAGCAATGATATCCTTATGTAGTGTATATAGGGGATGTTTATATTTAATCTGTCGTTCTTTTTGGAAGATTTTCCAGCAAGTATGTTTGGAAGATACATGGAATCAGGTTAAAAGGTTTCCATATTTTAAAAATTGGGGACCATTGAATTTGTGATTATCATAGAACATAACAAGGTGAGTCAAAGTCAGTATAGCAGAGGCTATTCTCAAACCTTAATCTGTCAGATAATCATTAAAATCAAAATCTTAAGTTATACTTTAAATTTTTCACATAGATACAGATATTTTAAGATTACAATGGAGAAAATAGAAGATAGAGGTGGGAGTCACAGGAGTAAAGAGCCCTGTATTTTAGAATCTCAGTCTACTTTCCACCTGGTTTATAAGTAAGAAACTATTAAAATTGACACAACTTTATGGTCATCAGTCTTGCAGAGGCCAATTGCCTTGATTTACTATATTTTATAACCTAACCCTCCATTTAAAATGCCTATAAATTATTTATGTCTGGGGTAAAAATCCGGAGCTTCACATGGACAAAGGTTTCATCATTTCTACCTCTAGGTATTTTTTAACTGCCTGTAATCAAATTATAGCTGTGTGGTGGGTGGAATAGGTAGTAAGCAGTAATTGCAAATGGTATTTAAATAATAATAATAATATTTAACATTTATAGCTCACTTTATATCTTCAAAGTACTCGCAAACATTGTCTAATTAAATACCTTCTCTGATTATAATCTGGATATAAATGCACTTAAATCCAGAACAGGGTCATGAGAAAAGTAGGCGTTTGAAAGTTAATGCTAGTTGTGCTTTAAAAATCTATGCAATGAGGGGAAAGTTAGAGTTTAGGATTTCACTGGATTGGTTTTTGTGCATCTCATTTCAACCTGATGGCAGGATAAGATTTTATCTGCACTTGATATCTCTGCTTGATTTCTGATCACTAAGGACTGAGTGTTGATCATCATTCTGGTCCTTAAAGATGCTAAAATATAAACAACATAAATAAGCTTTAAAATGTGCTTCTTCACTACATTTTGGGCCCTGGCCTCAGATGAAACTCCCATTAGTAAGTGCAATGAAGTGGGATAGTGCAAAGAAGAATGGCTCTGCATTGTGGTTTAGTAATTTCTGTCTGAGAATGATAGATTAAACTTCACAGTAGGATACATCATAAAGAAATGCACTGGAGAAATGAAACATCTTTAGGTTGACTGTATTAACGATTTCTTGCTGTTTTGGACATGTGTCTGTGTATTGTCCCCTTGACCCTGTGTTGTCGATTTAGATAGTGTTTGGAGCAAGGACTTGTGGGGCTTACCCAGTAGGTAGTAGAGGGTTCTGCAGCTGGTAGACTCTCAGTAAATGTTATCTCGTGCGTTATGATTTTCTAAGAGCTGGTTGACAGTTTAACTCCCTAAATCAGTAGTTCTCTAAGATCCTTGGACTAGCAGCTTCAGGATCATCTCTTAGGGCCCGTCTCTCTGAATTACTGAATCAGAAAATCTGGGGAGAGAGCCCAGCAACCTGTGCATTAAGAAGTTCTCCTCATACTTCAGAAGCACTTTGGAGCCTGGGAATGACTGGCTTAAGTGTTTAAAAGACAGTTTTCTTTTTTCTTGTTTCTTTCATGCTGGTTCATTCATTCATTCAGCAAATATTTATTGAGCATCTGCTTATGTGACTAGCTCTGTGCTAGATGCTGAAAATACAGTAATGAAGATGTTATGAATGGGAGGAGTATACATTAGAGAAATAACCGTAAAAATGATTTACTAAATATGAGTTGCTGTTGGAAAAACATAGGATATATCCACAGAAATTTGTGTGTGTCTGCCTGAAACGGTTGCAGAGTAGGAAATGATTCATATAAAGGTATGAATGTTAAGGTAACTGCAACGTTTTCATAAGGTGTATGACCTCAAAGAAATTGTGGAAGGTACACATTTTTAGAAATATGGAATTTAAATTTCATACTAACATATACATTTAAGTGGTTTGTAAGAAAAGGGGATACTTGAAATAGAAAAATTTACAACTTTCAA